AATTTTAAAATGGAAAAAAGGTTGTATTCTAGAAGTATATTATTTTTCAAAAAGCTTGGGGGACAATTTCGAAAAAAGACTTGATTCTTTAAAAAGCGTTGACACCTACATTCTATTCCCTAAAAGGTTTAGGGGGAGGGTGTGCATTATAAGAAAAATATACCTCAAAATTTTAAAAAAATGTAACTTTAAAGTGTAGGTGCGTGTTATACGCCGGATTTCTCGGTAATTAATACCTAAGTCATTGTTCATGTCAACAGCTAAAGTAATAAAATTTCGAGTAATTAGCAATCGATTTTGGAATAGGCATTAATTTTCCTTTGTCCACTAAATAAACATTTATGAATAATACTATTATATCATTTTAAATTAGATATTTTCGTAGCCATAACAATATACATTTGCATTATTACTAAAATTACTTCTTAATCATTTAACCCTGCTGTTTTGTTCGGATCTATATGACCTGAAATAAAATTTATACGTTCATAAAAATGTAGAACAGGAATATTTTCATGAAACTTCTTGACATCGTAGATAAACAATATAAATATTAGAGGGATTTATGTTTATTTGTATTTCGAAGGAATATTTTCAATTTTAGCTAGTCGTTCGGGTAAAAGACCCAATAAAAAAATAGTTTTTTTTTTACTCATACTTTTTTATTCTTTTTGGGAATAAATTAAAAAAAAGGGGAAAACGATAGTTTCTGTGTTTGCCACGATAAGGGGCACATGAAAAAGGGTGAAAAATTTGAAGATTAAGGGAAAAAACTACTTGTTTTGCAACGTTTTTTTTTTTTTTTCCCTCCATATTCACATTCTGATTTACAGTAAAGAAGCTGTGCCTGCAAACAGGAGAGAAAAAATGGCAAATCGCATAAAGTTGAGGCACACTGATAGAGCTAAACTAATAGAATCTTCTGACAGCGAAGAAGTGTCTGAGTATGAGATTCATACAAGTGATGAAAAATTGACAACGATTTTAAAACCAGTAATCAACAAATAAACGATAAAGAGAGTATTCAGTCTAAGAATCGTAAACAAAAAAATTGGAAGCTGAATCCGCTGCCACATTCTTCTCAATCAACAGCTGTTAATATTATAAAAATCTACTCCAAGGGTCACAAAATATGAAACGGCAAAGGGTAACGGACGTAAAAAATGCTTTTGAGGTAGTATTCAATTCTACAATTGAAAACAAATTCAAAAAAATGACTAATATTGAAGGAGTAAAAGTTTACGGAAAAAAGTAGAAAAATATCGAAATAAAATTTTTGCATATATTGGGTTTTATTGGGAAAAGTTTATAAATCATATGGAAAATCAACAAAAAGCTTATGGGATAAAGAAACTGGCAGAAATATATTTCGTGTGACAATGTCCCTCCAAACATTTTGCACCATGAAGAGAGTTATTCGTTTTGATAATAAATCGACTCGTCAAGAAAGAAAAAAAATTAGATAAATTAGTTGCAGCACGAGGTACCCGGGAAAAGTGGATCCAAATTCTACCAAAATTATATAATTTGAAAGGAAATATTACTGTAGATATGTGTGAACAATTAGTAGGATTTTGTGGCCGATGTCATTTCAAACAGTATATACCAAGTAAACTATCTAAGCATGGGATCAAAATATGGACTTAAAGTGACATAACATCACATGTACTGAAAACACAAGTTTACACTGGAAAAGACCAAGAGTCAAAAACAAAGAAAATTCAAGGAATGCAAGTAGTGTGTTATCTCACTTATGGGTATTCGGTGCATAATATTGCATGTGATAATTTTTTCACATTATACAAACTCAGGGCAACTTCTTCTAAAACGGAAGATGACTATACTTAGCACCATTAGAAAAAATAAACCGGAACTTTCTGAAGAAATGCCAAATAAAGAAGTTCACAGCTCACTATTTTATTTTACAGAAGACACAGCAGTTGTAAACTACATCCTAAAAAAGAATAAGTATATTATCCTTATGAGCACTTTGCATCGTGGCAAAGAAGTTAGCAACAGACTTTACAAAAAAACACATTAATGATCTTAGGTTATAATTCAACTGAGGGGCCTGTGTATACTCTTAATCAACTTTAAAACACATTGTAAAAGACAAATGAATCACTGCAAATGTTAGTATTGTATAACATGCTTGATACTTATGCATACAATGCATTTGTTCTATGAACTTCAATACATATGATTGGAACGAAAACAAATTGACTAAAAGAAGGCTATTTTTGGAAGAACTGGGAAAATCACTCATTTTTCCACACATCAAGGCCAAACCTACCAAGAAGTGAGGTCTCAATAAAAATAGAGAAACAAATACGTAGAAAAAGGAAAGTGTATCATCGGGATCAGCTGAGAAAACTTCATTGTGTGTTAAACGTACAAGGTGCAAGCTCTGATAGTCTAGCAATGACAACAGAACTAATATGTTATGCTACAAGTGTAAGAATCACATTTGCAATATTATTGTTCAAATTCTAAATAAAAGTAAATTTTAACGTCGAATATTTTTCTCTGTTATTTTTATACATATTTTATATTATTGTTGTAAATATGAATTTCATATATATTTTTCTGTTATTTCTATAGATGCTTTTAGATCTATTTTTAAACTTATATTACTATTGTTTCAAACATTTCTTAAATGGCACTTGTCTTTTACAGCAAGAAAGGTTAGTTTTCTGAATCGAGTCATTTTGACATAAACACTACATACGTGTAGTAAATACGAACAGAACAGCAAGGTTAATAAAAGTTTTGCGTTTCATTAATTTTAGGAAATAAACAATCGTAAAATAAATTTGTATGAAAGTCTTTACGGTATTTATGATAATAAAATTTCATTTTACTCCAGAAAAACATTTTTTTAGAATCATCGGATCTTCTTGAGAAAAATTGAATTTTAAACATTCGAAAATCTAAGAATACAATTTGCTATGGGAAATAATAAATGAAAAATATTTAAAATCACAAATTTCCACATATGAATAAGTACCTTATACAATTATTTATCTGCGTAATACAAGGACTGTCCAATGAATTAAAAAACCTTTGATATTTTCATTTGAATGAGGGCCAAGGATGAAGTATACAATTTTCTTTTATAACATGGGTTACACGTGATTAGATTGTTTTTATAACTAAGATGCAGGAGTAATTTTCACGACGAATGAAGTAAAAGCGGAAAAATGACAAATCTTTCACCATTAAAAAAGGGCATATTGTTGCACGATAATTGCAACATAGGTTGCAGGTGTAAGATGATTCGGAGAAGATTCAAATATGATTTTAAAACTAGTTATACTTATATTTTAGATTTAACACTTTATGAACGATTTACAACTTATTCAAAAAACCTTACCCATCGTCGGAGTACCTTATACCAGTTTTCTCGAACAATGATAGCTTGGTGCAGATCCACTGCTAATTCCTTCCACAACTCTAGGTGAAATCTAAGATGAACATTAATTTCAAGCCGCACGAGACTTCCATGTCGTAATTCACTTTCTACTATTCCGCAATTTCACAATTTACCTCAAACACCCCAAAGCCAGAGTTTAAATGGCATTTACATTAGCTTAAAATCAGGTCATCTCTACAGAAATCGGTTTTTAAACTAAAATCACAGTTAAAGAACAGTTTCTCCAAGGGGATTATATGAAGTACCTTTGAATAGAATCCGTCATATATTTATTAATGTAGATAAATGCTTAAATAAATTAAATGGCTCATTTAGAATGAGATGGCTTTCTTACAATAGTTTTAGTAATTAAAATAATAAACTAATTAATATATATCTGCATCTTATAATTATTATCTTATAATTATCTCTTATTAATACATCTGCATTTGCAAAAAATAATTAAAATTTAATTTTTTAAGAAAATTACAGGGTTTTAAATTGATTTTTTCAAGTTTTATTGAGAATATAAATACCGAAAATTCGCTTAAAAAATTCTAAAACCATGCATATACTGCACACATACTTTACTTCAATTATTTTTTATTTAACCTCATTTGGACTTTTAAAGCAACACTAAAATTAAGCTAAAACAAAAGCACTGTAATTTTTTTTCATAGATTTTTAACCGGAAATTAAAAAGCGTTTGACAGCACAAACATCTTACCTGCATTCAATTTCGGAAAACTCCGTGTAAAGCAGATTCTGGATGTGGGTAAGTCCCAACTGCTCCTCACAGCAGAATATAAAATCTTCAAGACTCCAACATGGAATAGCCCTCAGAAGTTCTGAAAATATTTCAAAATTATAATTTTCCAATCCATTGAATTACATAAATCATTGACCGTTAACTACTGAATTATTAATAAGTTGACAATTTGTTTAGATGATTGTACTTAAGCTAGCCCTAAAATTCTGGCTCAGGTGCAGCATACATCTACACGAAGAGTTCGTTAACCCTCTCGCAGCACATCCTGCGATTTCCACGGGCAACGGAGATGTAGCAAAATTTGTGAAACCCCTCAATTTCCGGGGGTTGCGCGTGTATATATATATATATCTTGTTCAAATTTCCAATCGTTAATAAAATACTTTTTGTTCATCCATTCAAGTTCAAATACATTTTTTGAAACTTGTAGTGGATTACACTTGATGTCAAAACAGTTTTTTCGAATATTTATTTATTTATTAATTAAATTAAAAAATGAATCAACAGTAACAAACGAAGATAATAGTCCAACAGCATATATGAAAATGTCCTGTAGCGCAATGAATAGCGCGTTGGACTTCTAATCCAAATGACGGGATTGGAATCCCACCTGAGATGGTCTAATTTATGAGAGTGTGGTTTACATTTTATTGTACTAGTTTATTAGAATAATTAAATTTAATTAATGAATAAATAGTAACAAGCAAAATATAAATAGTCCAAAACCATATGTAGAAAAGAAAATGGAAAATTGCAAGGAAAATCGTTTTTTATTTTGTCACTTAAGGCTGTCTTCGGTTAATGTTAAAGAATAGGACCCGAATTCGGAACATTTTTGCAAATGTAAAAGAAATGAAAAATTAATATAATATTATGGCTTCACTATCCTTTAGAGAGCAGCATTTTTTTTTAATCGTACTTCCCATTTTTAACCAAGTTGACTCAATTTTTATGGTATAAAATACGTTTTGCGTTTTTTCTCCTATATCGTAATCTTAAATGGACTATGCCTTTACGTATTCAAACGAAAAAGAATGTATTCATTAAATATTTTGAAATTTTTAAAAACACTATATTGTTAACAGAGGTATGAGTTATAATATTACAAATTTCCATGGAAATTGAGGCATTTTGCTGCCTTAAAATGAGTTTCGCTTTTAGTTCAAACTCTGGTACACTTACCGAACACAGCCTTAAGGTATCCGACTATGTTCGGAACCGTGGTTTTAAAAAAGCGCATAAATGGATTGTTTTCATATTTAGTGTCATTTATAGATTAGAATTTATGTATAAAATTGTTTTATGGACATTTTGACAAAGAAAATTATTTAAATTTAATATTTCGGCAAAAAAAAACAACAACTTAGAATAACCCTTTTTTCAAAATGTTCTCCTTTTGTGAAAAATGTTTCTATTATAATAATATTTTGCCTGTATGTATCTCAGACCTCTGTACAAAGGCTCAACTACGATTTTGAAAATTCACATTATTTTCAGAGTTACAAACCATTTGAAATAATTCATGGCGTTTTTTCTTAAAATTCTCTCCCTCTGTTGTCATAAAACATGGATAAACCCACTTCTATGTTATATATTTCAAAAATTCTACTTGAGCCTCTGTACAGACGTCTGAGCTATATACAGACAAAATATTATTATAATAGAAGCACTTTGAACAAAAGGAGAATATTTTGAAAATGGGTCCTTCTATGTTCATTTTTTGTCAAACTATTGTACTTAAATATTTTTTTTATTGTAATACTATTCTTGAATCAATTTTATATACATTTTCTAATCTTAGTGACACTAAATATCATAAATATTATCCATTTATACGCTTTTGTAAAATCACGGTTCCGAACGTAGTCGGATACCTTAATATTGTGATTCTGTCATATGTATATACATATTTATATTAATTGTTATTATTTAATAAAATAACCAAAATAAAAATTTTTCTTTGTTGACGTGATTAAGAATTGATCTAAAAGAAAAATTTATATTACTTGTTATTACTTACTTCTAAGACGGCTATACCCAGATCCTTCACAAACGTAGCTGTAGGTGCCGCGTAGAGCTTTTAACCAAGAATCGAATCGATAACGACCGTCATCTTGATCACAGTCCTCATCGATGATATCCGAGGTGCAGTTCAATGAATCATCAATCGCTCTGAAAATACGTTTCGTTCGAATGAGAGTAAATTTAAATTTAAATAAGTGTATGGTACTTATGTATTATATCCTCTACCAAGTTCACCCCCTCAAAAGAGGTTGCCAATTCAAAAGATTATGACAAATGTTGTTATTGTTACTATCTTTATCAGGGGTGGCAAACCTTTATGGATCAATGAGCCATTTTTTCTAAAGAAGTGTTTAATGAGGTATAGACGTGCCATAAAATAATTTTGAGTTGTGATTATTGGGAAAATAAAAAAACTAAATACTAACCACTCAAAACTCTTTATTCACTATGAAAAAACACCTTTTGTGTACTGTATAGTTGCAGATGTTTTAGCTATACATGTAATTCAAATTAAAGTAATATTAGTGTGACTTCTATTGTTGCAGATAGGATAAGAAATAACTTATATTAGGATTGAAAGATCTTACTTTCATTAGAATGCCAAATTATCTGCCAAATGGTTTATCTGCCATCTGCTATTATCTATCTGCTTATCTGATTATCTGCCAAATGGTTTATAAGCAATTAATTGTTTTTACTGTGGTTCACTTTTTTGAAAAGAGGATTTGTGATTTGTGTCAAAGCTTAATAGACGATGTTCAGCATACCACTGTTCTAGAAAATAAAACATACACATCTTTGTCGCCTTTGCCTTTACTAATTGGGCCATATTTCTAGATTTACCAAGTTTTAAATTCTTTGTTACACTTACTATCTTGATCTTTTTGTTATTTTGTTGCCCTAGCTATATTAAATAACAGTTAAAAATCGAAGATATAACACAAATAAACTTTGAAATACAGTTGTGTCAATGAAATTGACAATACTAAACGTAGACAAATTTTGCATCATAAACAACTGCAGTACATGATGTAACTAAGGCAAGACAATAACAAACGAGTGTGCTCCCCACCGGCCTACGACCGATCACTCACATTTTTTCGTAATAATTCACAATGAACTTTGTTATTCTGAAATAAAATACAAGCCATTTCGATAGCTAGCATGCCTAAAATACTGTGTCGTGTGCCATTGATGGCACGCGTGTCACTGGTTCGCCATCCCTGATGTTCGAGCATGCCTGACCACTGTTTCCCCTATTGGCTGCATATCGCATCATTTGGTGATATATTTTGATTTGTCAATATTTCTAGATGGGGTAGTACTAAAGTAACAAATTTATTATAAAAGATACTATTAAAGAAATAAGTTATTCAAATCGGATTAAAATCAATTAATTACTGCAAAAGTTGATATAAAATACTTAACGTTACAATGGCAAAATTCCGAAAGCACATTTGCAAGTCTTTATTTTACAAAGTTGTGCTGTTACCTGACTAAACAAAAAAAATAGAAAAATTGAAGGTACAATTTGAAATTTCAAATAAGAGTTTTATCGTTGTATTTTTATCTATTTTCTTTACTTCAAAAACTTAATTAATGAATTTGATATTCAATACATCTTGAAGCACGCGCTTGTTTCCTTCCACTTCTAACAAATTTGCCACACTGTGAAGTGGAATTCCACCATATATCCTTTTACTTCAAACTAACACTACCACATCCAATAGTGAATTCCTGTTGCATTGGTTACAACTCTGAATTTAAAACAAAAATTCTAAAAATCGTTCCAGAAAACGTTCTTAGGAAAATAAACCTAAAAAAAAAAAACAGAAGTTAAATTAATTCCCACCCCACCCAAACTGCAGAAAAGTGAATCCCTACAGGATACATCAGAGATGAGGATATGATTGCTTATGATGAGGATAAATACTGTTTACCAGACATTCCATTGAAAAGTGTTGAATATGATGATGATAAATACTGTTTACCAGACATTCCATTGAAAAGTGTTGAATATGATGATGATAAATACTGTTTACCAGACATTCCATTGAAAAGTGTTGAATATGATGATGATGATATCGTATCCATGACGGGACCAAATCAGACAGTACTATGGGCCAAGATCACTGTTCTGGCAATTAGTATTATCCACATAGAGATTTGTTGACGAAAACAGGACCACTATTTCTTGTAGGGCAGCAAGAATAGCTGGACAGTCAAAAATAGAAACAGGTGTTAGCTCTATATCTAAAGAATTATCATAATTCCTAAAAGTTCTACCTCTCTATCAAACTTCATTTCTCTGTGATGACTTGTTCTTAGCCTAGCAATAGGCTTTGTTATAAGGCGACTCCACTTATAATACAAATCTGATGCTTTACAGGAATTGACTTATCTCTCATTTTGAAATTTGTGACAGCATTTGCGTCTTATAAAGTAATGTTGACAATGTTGTCATTATTAAGATTTCTAGTTTCTTTTACAGTTTATCTGCTGGTTTATTGACTGTAATGTCGGCCGGTAACCATTGGAGGAAGCAGACTTTATATAACTCCTGTAATCTGAACAGGCGAGAGCAAATCTTTTCAGTAATCCATGAATCTCCATTTAGAGTTGAATATTCTCACCTTTTAACACTCACACGATTTATAAATGGCAGGAGGTAATAGTATTTTCTTACTATCATAAATTATATTGCTTTAAAACGTTTAGCTAGTTATTAGCATTTTTTAAAATTTAAGTTAATTGTCCTGTTCCAATTTTTATTTTGATTTTTATTTCGCTTTTCATTAATTCAGTGCTTCTCCAACTTTAAATATTTGTGACCCAATATTCAATCACATAATTTTCATCGCGCCCCCCTCCATACAATAATGTATTAAATTCAATTACTATACCATACTTTGATGCTGAAGCTGTAATACGACTTAACACCTCTTAAGTGCCACCGGCGTATATAAATATCTTACTCAGCCAAAGCGTTATTTTCCCCGAACGTATATATACGTCTTTCCGAAGTACGATTTTTTCTGTGTACTGCTATCCATAAATTTATTCCGAAGTTTATCGAATGCAATAAAAGGACTTTCACAGTGTGTCCGGTGGCTTTGGGAGCGAATTGCTTAACATTTAATCAGCAATTAAGGGATTGATTATAAACTGAAAAAAATTATCAAGATAAGAGTTAATTTTTGCATTTAATTTTATATATGGCAAGACCATGGGGTCATTGATAGTTATTAAACTTATTCTTATCTTAATATTGTTAAATAATTATCAAAAGCATTGTGTAGTATTGATACATTTATACGTATATTATATCAGTGTAAATGTGTATTTTATTTCTTTTTGTGTCAGAATGTATTTTGTGTACTTTCAGAAAATTAGTAATTCTTTTAAAATAATCCTAGACTTTTTAAGATGCTCACGCCCCCCTCCTAGAGTTATCACGCCCCTCAAGGGGGACGCGCCCCATAGTTTGAGAAACGCTGCATTAATCTGTTCTATCCTTGTCTCCCACCAAAGTTGGTTTCCTTTTATCTTATGAATTGGATTTTATATTTCAATAATTTACGTTCTACTGAAAC